TGGCGTTCCTGGCCGGGCCGCGCCTGCTGGACTGGGCCAGCTCGCCGCCGCACCTGCAGTTCAACAAGTTCGTGCTGACCGGCTACCGGCCGGCCAGCAGCGGCTCGGGCTGCCTGCGGAGCCTCTTCTACCTGCACAACGAACTGGGCAACATCTACACGCACGGTGAGCGCGCGCCGCCGTCCCTGGCACCGCCAGGCGCCGCGGTGACAAAGCTGTCATTGTCCGGGGCGGCGGGGCCCGGGGGCAGGCGAGGCCGCCGAGTGGGGCCGGCGTGAGCCCTCCGCGCCCTGAGAAGGACCTGCGGCCGGGCCCTCTAATCCCAGCGCCCTGGCACCCTGCCCTTGCAGCACCCCGTGCCGGCGGTGGGCATTGACTTGGCGAGGAGGGGCCTTGGAGGAGAAGCCGGCCCGGCCCCTCCCGGGTGGCCGCCCCAGCAGCCGCGAGGCTCCGCCTGGTGGCGGCGCCTTCCTTCCCCCGCGGGCGCGCGGCCCCTCCTCCGCGGCCGCTGGGCGCTGCTGACACAGCCCTGGCCGTCCTTGAGCTGCCCGGGCCGGCACAGGGGCCCTCGGTCCGGCTCAGCGTTGGGGCAACACCAGACCCCCTCTAGAGTGTGCGGTTGACAGCCCGGGGCTGTGGGGGCCCCCTTTTGACCTCGTGGGAGGGCGGTGCCAAAGTGCCCGCCAGTAGGGGCCTTGGCTGGCTCTCAGTGTGGAATGTGCTCTCATCAAGAGGCGGTGCCTGGGGAAATGGGACAAGCTTGCTGCACCCTCTTCTGCTAGCTGGCCCTGCTCTTGCTCCTTTCTGGAAGACAAAAAGTGCCAAAGCCTCCTTTTTGGACACTTATGTAAGGGACAGGACACAGCGGTCGGTCGGGAGGAGCAAGCTAAGTGGCCCAGGGTCTGGCGTCAAGGCTCACACTGCTGCCCTGCTTAGCTTAAGTTCAGCTTAAGTTCTGCTTACGGCTTCTGCTGACCCACCGGGCCGGGCAGGGGGACCATCGTGAAGCTCAGGGGTGAGAGGGGCTTGGGCTCACGTTGCTGGGGCTGACCCTGCTTTGTCATGTGCCTCCTGCGCTCACCTGGGGCAGGTGACACAGCCTCTCCAAGTCCGTTGCCTCATCGGTGGAGGATGGTGTCTAGGGCCCGGGACGGTGGTGCCTCCGGGGAGTAAGTGCGGCTCCCTAATGCCTCTAGCCCAAGGCTTCGCAGGTGGGTGGCCCACCGCGCCCTTGTGGTCTGTCATCCCAGGTGCTGTTGTCTTTAGGCTGAGAACTCTTTGGCATGCGCCTGTCCCCAGTCTGGGAAATGTCCCCAGAACTTCCTGCAGGCTTCATACCAGGGATACTCACATGGACCACTGTCTCTGTCCCCCAGGGCTGGCCCTGCTGGGTTTCCTGGTGCTGTTGCCCATGACCGTCCCCTGGGGCCAGCTGGGGAAGGACTGCTGGCTTGGGGGCACGCACTGTGTGGCCTGCCTGGCGCCCCCTGCTGGCTCCGTGCTGTATCATCTCTTCATGTGCCACCGCGGGGGCAGCCCCGTGTACGCCCGACTCCTGGCCCTGGACATGTGTGGGGTCTGCTTAGTCAACACGCTCGGTGAGTTGGGCCCCAGGGCTGGGGAGCCAGGGCCCCAGGGGCGGCGCCATGAGGGAGGTGACGGGGAGGAAGCCGCAGGGAGACCCGCGAGAGCAGCAGGGAGGGCCGGGCGAGGGGCGCCCGGACCGATGCCCCTCACCCCTCTCCTCTGCAGGGGCGCTGCCCATCATCCACTGCACCCTGGCCTGCAGACCCTGGCTACGGCCAGCTGCCCTGCTGGGCTACGCCATGCTGTCAGGGCTAGCTGGCTGGCGGGCCCTGACCGCTCCGTCCACCACCGCGCGGCTCCGCGCCTTCGGCTGGCAGGCTGGCGCGCGCCTCCTAGTGTTCGGGGCCCGAGGAGTGGGGCTGGGCTCGGGCGCCCCGGGCTCCCTGCCCTGCTACCTGCGCATGGATGCGCTGGCGTTGCTGGGCGGGCTGGTGAACGCGGCCCGCCTGCCCGAGCGCTGGGGGCCCGGCCGCTTTGACTACTGGGGCAATTCCCACCAGATCATGCACCTCCTCAGCGTCGGCTCCATCTGGCAGCTGCACGCCGGCGTCGTGCCCGACCTGCTCTGGGCCGCGCGGCACGCCTGCCCGCCGGACTGAGTCGCCCGCCTGCCTGGTCCCCTCGGGCCAACACCACCACGCTTCTCTCCTGCTGCTGTGCAGAGGGCTGGCTCTGAATGCTTCCGGCAACCTTGGGACTTCTACGCCGGGAGCCCACGTTTGCTCATTCATTCATCACGTGGACTAGGCTCCTCTTCTGAGCTGCAGCTCCCGCCCTCCTTCTTCCAGGGCACTGACGGCACTGGCCGGAAAGACACTTTGCCTCTCTGGGCCTAAGTTTACCCTCTGGGACCTGTGAGGGTTGGGCCAGAGGGATGGGAGGCATGCCTTGCTGGGACAGTGGCATCCTGCCAGCTTGCCACTCCCCTCACCTCATCCCTCCCCATGGACCTCTCCTGGCCCGGCCTTGACTGCTCATTTCCTGACCCCGTCCTCTTCTCTGCATGCCAGCCCTCCCCACAGCCTGCAGCTCACGGCCTGTGAAGTGAGGGGCTGTGGGCAGCAGGACTGGCCCCTTCATCCAGGGACCAAGTTGACACTGACCCTTCTTGTACCGAGATGGCCGAGGGACAGGGAGGCCAGTGTTGCCGTCCCCAGGCAATAGGCAGAGAGACACGTGGCCCCGGGCCTGTGCCCAGGGGGCTGAGGGCCTGCCTCCATCTGAGCCCCACCTGCCCACCTGGGACACGGCTGCTCAGGAAATCTGCCCTGCTCGGCACAGAAGCTGAGGGGCTCCAGGCTGCTGGCCACAGCGGGACTCCTCAGGGCCAGCCCCAAGGGGCCTGAAACTCTGGACATTAATAAAAGGGCCAGGACACGCTGTGTTGCCACCTGAGCAAGTTGGAGTGCTCCCAAGACTCCACAGCTTTTATTAGGCACGTCAGGTGGGGGTGGCGGCAGCGGGGTGAAAAGTTAAAAACTCTGAGGCTGGCCCACAGGGCTCAGGTGGGGTCCAGTGAGTCCTCAAATAGGCTGAGGAGGTTCCGGGGCTCAAAAGAGGGGAAAGACCCCCGGGGAGGTGCTGAGTCGACGTCACTCAGGTCCAGGGGGTCCCTGGAGGAAGGGAGAGGAGAGAGAAATGACACCCCAGGAGTGAAAGCTACCCACACGCGCCCCCAGCCAGGACTCCGGCTCCTAGGCCAACACACGCCAGCACGTACCTGCCCCGGGGGAACGGGGAGCTGCTGTGGGGGGTGCAGGTGCTCCTGGCAGTTCTGGCCAGGACGGTGCCTGGGGAGAGCGAGGACCTGTACAAGGGAGAGACAGGCCAGGCTGGACGGCCAGGGTCGGGGGGCAGGCTTCCAGTGATGTGGCAGCCAGAGCCACAAGCACATGGGGGCACGCTGAGAGCCAGCTCTCTTGAGCCCAAGAGCCTGGCCAGGCACCCACGGCCACCTCGCGCCCTCTCCAAGCTGGCTTTGAAGTGAGCTTTTGGTCAGTGAAGCTATCTGCCGCTTCCTGTCCACTCTAAAGTGTCCCTGGGACCAGAGGCTGACACTGTCATAAGGAAGGGGCGAGTGACAATATTCCTCCTCAGATCTGTCCCCAGTGTGGCTTTCCCTTCCAGCAGTTTTGAATTAAGAACCCCCTACGGGCTGGCTCCTGGGCCCTGGTGCCTAGTCTGGTGGGGAAGGGCTGCACCGCCTCCCTTGCCCTGGTCCCATGCTGCTCGCGGGGTGGCTGCCAGGTAGGTGTGTGTCAGCAATGGCCGAGCCACACACTGAGCTTGGTGTAAGAGCTGCGTCCCGCGCTACGCCATGCTGCACCCCGGGGCCTGGGCCCGCCCGCCCACGCTCACCGGAAGCTGTTGTCCTCCCAGGTGCTAGCAAAGCTGCTGTCCAAGAGGAAGCTGCAGGGTGGTGAGCTGGGAGGGGTGGCCGGCGGTGCCGGCGGCTGCAGCCAGCTGGCAGGGTGGGCCAGCCTGTGGCAGAGGCAGCAGACCAGGGCTAGCAGGGCCTGTGGGGAGAGGGCACGAGAGACTGGGTGGGCCCCAGGGCAGAGCGGGGCACGGCAGGCCAGGCAGCCTGTCTCCAGGGCTCACAGGCTTACCTGCCACAGGGCCCACCCGCGGCTCAGGGCGTCAGCCGCCATGTACCACAGGACGCTCCAGGGTCTCGGCCTGAGCGCGGGCATGGCCAGCAGGGACTCGGCCGTGGCCCGCAGCGTGGGGTCCGGCTCCAACATCGTGGCGAGGACCGTGCGCAGCTCAGAAGACAGGCCTGGGCAGGTCCCAGGTCCCGAATGGAACTGAGCCCGAGCCCCGTGCTCCTCCCCACACAGGGCCCCCAACCTGGGGTGCAGGAAGGGCCCCCTCCCACGGTGGCGCACCCCCTCCCGGCCCCCACTCACCCGCAGTGAACTCGGGGGGCAGGTAGCCCTGACGCAGCTGCTGCCAGCCCTCCCCACCATGGGGCAGCTCCATGTTACAGGCCACTTCCAGGATGGCGAGACCCAGACTGCAGGGGGCGGGGCCAGGGAGAGGGAGGGCAGGGTCGGCCTCTGGACAGAGCCCCCAGCCCCAGAGCAGGGTGGGAAAGAGGCCCTGAAGCCTCGGTCACAGGCCAGCAAGGTGGGGAGGCGGGGCCGAAGGAGAGCCCTGGCAGGAGCATGAGGGCCCGGCTCCCAGGACAGTCCACACAGCCCTTGGGAGCCCACCAGACAGGCCCAGTGGCTGCCATGGTTATGAGGAGTACTGCTGTTGAGTGGTCACATTGATTCCAACTCATAATGACCCAGTACGACAAAGTACAACTACCCCCACAGAGTTTCCTAGGCTGCAACCTTCACTGGAGGGAGCTCTGGTGGCATAGTGCCTAAGGCATTTGACTGCTAACCAGAAGGTTGAGGGTTCAAACCGACCACACACTGCGGGGAAGGAAGACTGGGCAATCTACTTCCATAAAGATTTACTGCCTCAGAAACCCAAAAGGGGGTCACTGTGAGTCAGAATCAACTCAAAAGCAGTGGGTTTGGTTTTTGGTTTTGAAATCTTTACTGGAGCAGATTACCAGGTCAGTGCCTCGTGAAGCCACTGGGTGGGACTGAACCACCAACCTCTCTGTAAGCAGCTGTGCCTTAACCATCTGAGCCACAAAGGCTCCTATTACTGTTGCTGAGATAGTCGGATGCAATTGTCAGAGGCCACACAGTACGCCCGTTCAGAGTGTGGGCCAAAGCCTGCCACCCCGCTCGCCAGCTGTGGGCCTTGGGTGAGTTCTGCGACCTGTGCCCAGAAGACAGCGAGTGGCAGTCCGTCCTGCAGAGCTGTTGCCTTGGTCCTCTTTGTAAAGCGCTCCAGAGATTTACAGCTCACAGGACTCAGGCGCCCCTCAGCCCCTCAGGGGCAGCCCCTTCCGGGCTCTGAGGAACCCAGTCCTGGCCTTCAGAGGCCCAGTGCCTTCCCCTTGGGTGAGTTGGGGGTGCTTCTGCCATGGGGAAGCCGTACTCTCTGCTGACCACCCCCAGGAGGCCCCGTGCCCTACCTCCAGTCCTCACCTGAACACATCGGCCGCTGTCCCGAAGGAGCCCTGCAGCAGCTCGGGGGCCATGTACCGGGGGTCCCCCTCCTGGGCCTCCCCGGCCCGGGCCGCGTGCAGCTCCACCAGCAGCCCGAAGTCCCCGAGCTTGCAGCGGCCCCGAGGCCCCAGGAAGATGTTGGCAGGCTTAATGTCGAGGTGGACCAGGCCGTGGCCGTGCAGGTGGGCCAGGGCGAGCAGCGCGTCCCGCAGGTAGCCCCAGACTTGGGCCTCGGGCAGGCCGGCGCCCCGGGCCTCGCAGTGCTGCTGCAGGCTGGGCCCACACAGCTCGGTCTGCAGGTAGAGCACGCCGCCCTCCTCCCAGGCGCGCTCCAGCCGCACGCAGCGCGGGTGCCGCCCCACCTTCTCGTGGCCGCCCACCTCGGCCAGCTTGCGGGCGCGGTCCTTGGGGCCGCGGAAAGGCGACATGGAGCGCTTGACGGCATAGAGCCGGCCGTCTTCCTTGGAGCGCACCTGGAAGGGAGGCGGCGCTCGTGGGCGAGGTGTGGTCGGGGCAGTCACACGGGGACGGACTCTGGCAGCCCCACTCGGCTGTCACCTGGGCCAGCTCAACCCTCGGGCGGGCAGTCGTTCCAGAGGCCCCGGCACGCTATGGTAGTGGCAAAGGGACGCGCCCATGCAGTAGGCCCGTTTGAGGGGAACTGGGAGCCCGGGCGCGGTGAGTCTCCAGGACGCAAGTGGAAAAAAAGCGGGGCTTTATGTAAAGCAAACAGATCTGTCTCTTACGTGTTGAACTAACTAGACCCACCGAGAGAGGGGCCGGAGGAAAGATACCCATCCGCGCAGTGCGGCGCGCGGGTCAGGCGCCTCGGTGGCGTGCACTTTTTGACAGCACCGTTGTATTCATGTAGCATTTATGCAAGGAAAACGATTTCAAGAAAATACAAATGGTTGGAAAATATGTTTTAAGGGGAAAATAAAGGAGGTGGGCAGTGTGTAGCCCGAGCGCCTGCCAGCTCGGAACAGGGCCGGGGGGCGGCATTGCCGCAGCGAGGGCTGGCTCAGGGCCCAGGAAGGTGGCCAAGAACCCCTGCGCGGCAGGCTCCGGGCCGGCGGAGGCGGCTGCTGACAGCCACCGCGAGGCCTGCCAGGCTCTGGACAAGGGGCGAGTGTGCGCCTTGGGGGCCCTCGGAGGGACCCACCCGGGGAGGTAAGAAACCAGCCAAATAGCGCCGGAGGAAGCCCCCCGCCCCCGAGCCCAGGAGAGCAGGCTGCCAGTCCCGGCCCCACGCAGGCAGGGTGGGGGGCCTGGGACTGTCCCCACTCACCTTGAACACCTCTCCGTAGGAGCCGTGGCCCAGGCGGCCGAGCTCCTCGAAGCACTGCTGGAAGAACGACTGCGGCCGGCCCGGGTCATAGCCAGGGCTGTGCAGGGTCTCGGAGGCCCCGGCCCGGAAGGACACTCTCCTGGGCTGGGGCTGGTGCCAGCCCGGGGTCCGTGAGGGGAAGAGGCGACTAATGGGGACGCTGCCCTTGGCAGGGGGCCGGGGCGGGAGGCTCCGGCTGAGCACCCCAGGCCTCTTGAGGGAGAAGCCGGGTTCTGCGTGGCGGAAGTAGGCGGGGACCGGGGCTGGGGTGCCGCTCAGGGCTGGTGGGACACCCTCTGTGGGCACTGGCATGGCGGGCGTGGGAGGCCCCGCAAGGCGCGGAGAACACGGGCTGAGCACGGGGCAATGTGTCCTGGCCTCAGGGCCGCAGTGAGGCGGAGGTCGAGCGTCGCATCCAGGCGGCACGCACGTTCCTCTCTAAACAGGAGAGCCCAGGGGGCGGGGAGCACCTGCCGGGAGGAGGCAGAGGACCACGTGAACGCCGCCTGCACGGGCCCAGGGCGCGGACTGCGGCTGGAGTAGGTACAGGCCCACCTCGGCCACACTGCGCTTCCGCTCCCCACCACCGCAGTACAGCGAACGCCGCAATCAAGTGAGACACCTTTTGGCTTTCCCAGTGCTATAAATCAGGCGCACTCTCTCCTGAGTCTGTTTAGTGTATGACAGGTGATGACATAGTCAGAAATATTGTGAGAATATTGGCATGGCAGTGAGCACACGCTGTTGGAAAAGTGGCTTTTACAGACTTGCAACAGGCAGGGTTGTCACAAGCCTGTTTGTAAAAAAAAAATAAAAAATGAAAAAAATAACTAGTATCTGCGTAGGACACTAAGCAAAGTGTGGCGAGATGAGATGCTGATGTCCCTGAGGCCTCCTGCACCATCACCACCAGCTGACTGTTTAACCTTTATTCAGATTATGCCAGAGAGAAATACTGATTTATCCACCACCAGCTGAGAGCCAGGGAGGTGCCACGGGGTGGGTGTGGCCCACAAGACAACCCTCAAACACTGAGCCCAAAAGTCAAGGTCCTGGAATGGAATTAGATCAGTCTGTGGGGCAATTTATGCCCCAGGGTATTGTTGGGAAAAATAGTGCAGTCAGCTGGTGACTGGTGGCGCCCCATAGCTGGATATGAGCAGGTAAAGAGATCATCAAGGAGAACTGTGCTAAATAAAAACCCTGTCCTCCCAGGAGCCTGTGTGTGGGCCCAAGATGGTGCCCTCTGAGGGGCAAGGGCAGGGCCTTCACACCACAGGACCCACAGGCTTGGCCGCAACAGTCCAGCCAGTCGCTAACGAAATAAACAAGCCACAATAAGCCGCGGAGGGATTCAGCATCGAGATAGCATCTAAAAGGCCAGTTTTCAACAACAACAAAAGTATGAGACACGCAGACACAGGAAAGTGTGAGCCCGTCAGGCAACGGAAACTACCTGTGAGAGGGGCCAGATACTGGATTTAAGAAAGGCTTCAAGTACACATTCTACATATGTTCAAAGAAGTCAATGAAATTATGCTTAAATAAGTAAAATATGATGACAGTGTCTCACCAAACAGAGAATAATGCTAAAGAGAAATTACAAAGAAAAAAAAAAAAAAAGAACCAAACAAATTGGGGAGGTAAAAAGCACAATTTAAATGAATAATTCACTAGAGGGGCTATGATACAAATTGACAGAAGAAACAGTCAGTGAGCTTGAAGACAGATTGACAGCAATTATGCAGTCCAAAGGACACCACAACCACCTACTCCCATCAGTCAATTCCAACTCACGGCACCCCTCGGGGACAGAGTGGAACTGCCCCACAGGGTCTCCAAGGCTGTCAACCTTTGTGGAAGCAAAGCCCAAACCACACCCACTGCTGTGGAGTGGTTCCGACTCATAGCCCCTGTGGTGGACAGAGTAGAACTGCCCCACAGGGTTTCCAAGGCTGTCAGTCTTTACAGAAGCAGACTACCTCATCTTCCTCCTGCAGAGCAGCTGGTGGGTTCAAACCACCAACCTTTTGGTTAGCAGCCCAATGTTTTAACCACTGCACCTCCAGAGCTCACTGCTGAACAAACAGAAGGGTAGAAATAAAAGAATGAAGGAAAATGAGAGCATTGTTAAGTGCACCAATGTACATACTAGGGGGTTCCAGGACAGCAGGGGGAGGAAGAAACAAATATTCAAAGAAATAGTGGCTGACAACCTCCCAAGTCTGATTTCTCAAAATGAAAACAAACATTAAATACACTTCCAAGAGGAAGCCCTGGCTGGCTCAAATGGGTGACCACTGGACAGCCAGGTGAAAGGTTCAAACCCACCTGGAGGTGCATCAAAACAAGGTCTGTTGGCCTTCTTCTGGAAGGCGCCAGCCCTGCACCCTACAGAGCAGTCTCACTGTGCACACCTGTGGTGGCCATGAGTTAGTAGTGACTCAGCAACAACCACCACCAACAAGAACAACGCATCCAAGAAGCTCAACACACTCCAGGTGCGATAAAGGCAAAGAGATCCACTCACAGATATGTCACCGTAGAAATGCTGAAAGCCACAAACAAGGACAAAAGCTCAAAAAGAGCAAGAAAAGGATAGCTTGTCGCTTGCAAAGGACAGCCCTCCCAACAAGCTCGACAGCTGACTTTTCATCGTGAACAGTGGAGGCCGGAAGACAGTGGGATGACATATTCAGAGCAGTGGGAGACAGACAACCATCAAACAAGCATCCTAAATCCAGCAAAAACGATCTTTTGGAAATAAAGGCATTCCCAGATAAACAAAAAATCAGAAAACATGTGCTAGCAGACCCACCTGACAGGAAAGTCTAAAGGAAGTTGTTCAGATCAAAAGCATATGCCTCCACACAGTAATGTGAGTCCATGTGAAAAAAACCAAGGGCAGTCGTAAAGGTAGAGACAGTACAAATGTGTATTTCTTCTCCTTCTAAGTCAAGAATCAATTGTATAAAACAGTATGTCTATAATAGTACATTGGCATACATCAAAATGCAATCTATTACCCAATAACAGCACAAAGGAGGTGGGTGGGGGGCAAAGCTGTACTGGTCTAAGGAGCTGACCTGAGGTGGTAACTCAAACCCACAGAACAGATGAAGAGAACCAGAAACCGTAACTGTGGAGGTTAATAAAACAGACTCCCTACGTGGCTCCTAGCTCTCCTGTCTTCTCTCAGCTTCTTTAAGAAACGAAAGACCAGAGACGTGGGAAGGTATCCCACGTTCATGGATCAGAAGAGTCACACAGCTCAGATGGGGGTGCTTCCCCAAGTGAGCCCCAGATCTGCAGGGCTGGGAAAGATGACCCAGACGTCACTGGAAAACTCAAGGGACCTGATACACCCAACACAATCTCCACAAAGAGCAAAGTTGGAGGACACACCCTTCCCGATCAAGCCTTACTACAAAGGGACAGTAATCAACACAGTGTCATACTTATATACAGACAGACATATAAAGCAATGGAAGAGAATTGGGAGTGCAGAAATAAACCCTTGTGTTTGTGGTCACATGATACTCAACTAGGGTCCAAGACCATTCAAGGGGAAAGAATTTCAACAAATGATGCTGGACCACTGGATACCTACACACAAAGCTTGTTTAGCAGCAAGATCTGACCTCATTGGTTTTTCCCTTAGGGACAGTTTTCAGGGTAGAAGCACTCATGAGTTGGCCTGGGGGTGCTGTCCTAGACCCACAGGGGTTCACATGTTACACACACCACATAACCTTTCTAACAGGCATTTTGAATTCCAAAACACATCCAGCCCCAGGGTTCTGTGGGCCTGTGGTACTGATCTCATGCAAGGCTAAGCCCAGTGTCTGGCATGCAGCAGGCTCAGCAAATACTATTATTGGTACCAACAAGGAGCCCTGGTGGCACTAACGGTTAAGCGCTCACCTGCTAATCTACGGGTTGGTGGTTAGAATTCACCCAGTCCCTCCATGGGAAGAGGGGCCATGTTACCTTAAAGATCAGTCAAGAAAACCCTGTGGGCAGTTCCACTCTGTCCTCTAGGGGCGCTGTGGGTCAGAATCCACTGCACGGCAGTGGGTGTGGCTTGGGCTTTGCTTCCGCGCAGACTGACAGCCTGGGAGACCCTCTGGGGCAATTCCAGTCTGTCACATGGGGTCACCATGAGTTGGAATAGATTTGAGGGCACCCAACAACAACATTATAACAAACACCGCCCTGAGCATAATGGAAAGTACACACAGTGGTCCCACGTGGAGGTGACTGGGAGTTGGGGCTGCAATGGCTGTCGGCGTTGCTACAATGTATCTGAAACAAGAACCACAGAAGGGGCTTATCCCACTGGAGAGGAGGATACAATGTAGCCGAGGACATAGCCCAGAAGGGGGAGTCAGTAGCCGAAACGGGTCATCTTTAAAGCGAGCTCCAGCGCGGCCAGGACACCCTGGCAGCCCACCCTACACCCTCGAGGGCCCTTCCTCCAGGGCTCTGCCTCTAGACCCCAACGCCCAGGGTTTCCCCTACGCTGGTTAGAGACACAGCCATCCAGGGCCCGCACGGACCCTTCCGAGGACACGGCATCCACATTTCAAACCAGCTCTAGAGCCACCCCAGTGCCACTTACCTCCCAGCGCCATGGTCCAAGCAGCCTTGAGGGTGGGGTAGCAGAAGGTGCAAGGCCTTCCGCGTGAACCCAGGGTGGTCCCGAGCCCAGCCCGGGTTGGGGTGACCTCCGCAGCTTCCGGGGACCTCACCCTCTCATTGGGTCCCGCACATCTGCTGGCCACGGTCTGCCGCGCTAGACTGTGAGCTCCTCCCGGGCAGGGCCGCGGCTGAGTCACCTCCGTGCGCGCGGCAGCCCCCTGGCGGGCAGAGTCAGGAGACGGGCTGTCACCGGGGCAGGGGGTGGTCACTCGGGCTGGGGGCATCGGACCCCGAGAAAAGGTGGGTGAGGCTTGCCCCGGGGAGGGTCGGGGAGGGTCTGGGGGCAGTGGCTGGGGCTAAAGGGTCCCAGATCGGACCCAGAGGAAGGAAGGGCTTGGGGAAGGGACCCTCCGGGGAGGGGCTCGCGGGGCTGGGGAGCCCCGTCCCCGAGAGAAGGGGTGCAGGCGCAGAGGAAGCCCGACCCGGGAGGGACTGTCAGGGCCTGGGACCCCGGGAAGGTGGACCGGGGCGGGGCTGCCTGCCCGGGAGCACTCCGGGCCGGATCTCCGCGTACCTGGGCGGGTGGGCGGGGCGCAGCTCGGAGCGCTGCCTGATCCCGGGCTGTGCCGACGCCTCAGGCACCTTCGGGGCGGCGAGGAGGGCTGGGCTCAGCCGTCGACCGCTCG